CTCAACTAAGTACAGCAACATGACAGCCTTTCGTGTAATATGGGGTCTTTCCTAAAATTTGGACAGTGATTTAAGGTATTGATAGCCTCGTTTGTCACGGAATTAGTTTTTCTGCAATAATCTGCCATGTGTTGATTAATTGGACGTAATAAATTTCGTGAGTCATGACGTAACGTTATGTAAACATATCTGGAGCTCTGTTACGCAGTTAGCTATTAGTTGTTAATCGGATTATTGACCAGTCATAATATGGAACAGAAATTTGCCTTCGTTGCAGCAGTGTTGAGTGATGATCATCAAATAAACTGTGCACTAAAAATCATTGTTTTTGGTTTTACCAAGCGCATTCTCACTTTAGATGTTACATCCCACGGCTAAAGACCCCTACGCGCAAGCGAATTATGGAAATAAAATTGAACCAATATGTTAGTCCCGAAGTGACCTAGTTTGTGTCCAGTGGACGTTAAATCCCCCCTTTCTCTCTCTCCCCCCCCCCCTCTCTCTCTCTCCCCACCCCGCAAGATTTTCAAAACTATTTATCAAATCTACTTGATTAACTTTACTCATGGATACACTTAACCTTTAACCTAGGTGTTAATTAGTATTTGTAGAAGCGCCACGGTGGCTAGGTGGGTAAGGCGCTGGCTCGCTAGCCTGGAGGTCGGGTGTTCGATCCCTGCATTGGCCGAGAAAGTTCATCCCGATTTTCCGACGTGGTTTCCCCTTGTCAGTGATGCAGGACGAATGGCCTGACAAGGACAGCTGTCTAGTCCTTCGGATGAGACGAAAAACCGAGTTCCCGTGTAAACTTTGGAATGCACGTAAAAGATCCCTTTGCAGTTGGAATTCGATATAAGAGTAGGCGATAGTGCCGCTGCCCGGGCAAAATTTCCCTCATAGCTCACTGTATGGCGTATGCCCGTCTTCATTAGCCCAGTATAGGAGCAGAACAGTCGGACGTTAAACCCCATTTCATTTCAGTATTTGTAGAATAACCCCCTTTGATCTTGTTGTTGTCCTGTATGATTTCCTGAATTGTTGTTGTAGTCTTTCTGTATAATATACTATTCAAAAAAAGTAGGGGATATTTGATTTTGGGGGCATAATACTAAAATATGCAAATGACTACGAAAATAGTCACTATAGAACCTAACAGAAGAAACATTTCCAGTTACATGTGACGCCCAGACGCACCAATAGCTACCGCATGGAATGCAGGTGATGCTTGGGATCATCATGGGGGTCCAACCCAAGATTTGCACGACTCTGACTTTGAATGTTACAGTCATTGTGGCATTGAATTCCAGGGTGGAAACATCAGTTTAATTGTTTTAGTGACCAGAAAACAAATTTTGATATGCGTCGGCTTACCCAAAATGAAAGGTTACGTGCCCTTGGCATGCTACAGATCGGCACAACACAGGCGGTTGTGGCGCGGACGATGAATGTTTCTCAGTCTGTCATAAGCAGGCTATGGTCCAGATACCGTGATACACAATCTGTACAGGACAGACCACGCTCAGGTCGACCAAGGGCGACAACTCAAGCCCAGGATCGATTTATCCGTACCTTGGCCTTGAGAAATCGTGTCATCACAGCAAATCAGATCAGCGCTCGTCTTCAAACAGACACTGGTGTGAGAGTGAGTGGCCAGACGATTCGGAATCGACTGCATAGGGGTCACCTTCGCGCCCAACGTCCTCGCGTGATCCCTTGTTTGAGAGATCATCACATTCAGGCAAGACGTCGTTGGTGTAGGGATCGTCAACACTGGGATAATTGACGCTGGAGCAATGTGATGTTTTCAGATGAGTCAAGGTTCACTGTTGATTTTTTGGACAGACGTAGGAGGGTGTGGCGTCGTCGAAACGAGCGCTTCCAAGACGTTAACGTCATCAGACATGATCGATTTGGGGGTGGTTCTGTTATGGTGTGGGGAGGCATCACTGTTGCTGGAAGAACGGCTTTACATGTTGTTGCAGGGCGTGTTACAGGCCAGTACTACCGGGACAACATCTTGGCAGTCCATGTTGTGCCGTTCGCACGACGTCATGGCCGCCGTTTCATCTTCCAGGATGACAACGCAAGATGTCACAGGGCCAGGATCGTTACAGGTTACCTCCAACAACAGAACATCACCACATTACCTTGGCCAGCACTGAGTCCCGACCTCTCCCCCATCAAGCATGTGTGGGACATGCTTGGACAGAGGTTACGTCAACGTCAACAACGTCCTGCCAATGTCCAAGAACTTGCTGCTGCGTTGCAACAGGAATGGGACAATCTGGACCAAAATGACCTTAGACGTCTCATTAGGAGTATGCCACGTCGGATCAATGCTTGTTTGGCAAACAGAGGAGGATTTACCCGTTACTGACTTGGTTGTGATGCTGTGGTAACTTTGCTGTTTGACCCCGGGTATCATTTTACCCTTATAATGGTCAGTCTGTGCCTTACTTAGTCTAACGATCATTTGGAATAAATCGATGAATGTGAGCTTCATTTCATTTTGTCATTTGTTTCTTCGTCAGTTTCATTAGGTGACTTTAATAACACTTAAAAATCAAATATCCCCTACTTTTTTTGAATAGTATATATTGATCTCATAATTCTTGTATTACTGTATTAGCTTGATAACGTTGAGAGAATACTCTTCGAAACGTCGCCCAAATACCTATGCAGGTTGTGATATGATAAATAGTCATGGACACTTGACATGCTTTGAGAGTATGTTCACAGATGAACTTATCGCCTCAACAGAACCACTAAGCTACACATGCGACACGCAATAGCACCATACACGTGGTAGAGGTTCATTGTCAAATTTGACACTTCAGGGAAGGGTTGATGAAAACTGCCGCGTGCTGGTTTATCTATTCATGTTTGCTTTCCTATCGGTTCTTGCATAAGATTTACTGTTTAGCATATCTTTGCTTTAGTGTGTTTCGTTTAATTTGATCGGGAGACGTGTTCGTCGACGTCAACGGACAACAATGCACGAATGGGCCGTGTGCACTGCGAGAGGAGTGGGTTAGATTGCCACAAATCGTGATTGGACGGTTGATTCGGAGCATGCCACGACGAATTGCTGAATGTCTATGGATTGTTGGAGCAATTACTCATTATTAAGACAAAAATCAAAAACGTCCATTTTCACTTTTGACGGTGTATCTCTTTGAGAGTGAAATGGGGCCGTCAGATAAGCCGTCCATATGAACTGTTTATCTTCATGTGTAGGCAATTGGCCTGTTATTAACATACACTGGTTACCTCTAATAAAAACAGCAGTGCATTTCCGCAGTTTCGTATGCTTTCTGAATATCCCCTACTTTTAATACGTCCACATTGAAATGTGGTCGTATATTGTCGTCGCCCCGTCCGTCCGTCTGTCGGTCCGTCCGTCGTCCACAATTTCTTGTGAACACTCTACAGACTACATTTATCATCTGATACTTTTAAAATTGATATATGTTGTTTGCATTAGTGAGATGAAGAAGCCTATTTGATTTCAATGACTTCCATTATTTTCTTCTGGAGTTATGGCCCTTGTTTCACTTTGTTGCACCTTGTGAACGTTCTAACGACAAAAGTTATCAACCGATCTGTATGAAATTTATATGCATCATTTTTATTAGTAAAAAAAAGAAGCCTATTGAATTTCAACAATTTCCGTTAATTAGGCTGTGAGTTATTTCCCTTGTTTCACTTTGTTGTACCTTGTGAATGCTCTAACGACAAAAGTTATTATCCGATTTGTATGAAATTTATATGCATCATTTAAATTAATAACACAAACAAGCCTATTGAATTTCAGCAATTTCCGTTAATTACGCCGTGAGTTATGGCACTTGTTTCACTTTGTTGAATCTTGCGAACGCTCTAATGACAACAGTTATCATCCGATCTGTTTGAAATTGATAAGCATCATTTAAATTAGTGAAACGAAGAAGCCTATTGTTAGCCTTTCTGTTAATTACTCCGTGAGTTATAGCCCTTGTTTCACTTTGTTGTACCTTGTGAATGCTCTAACGACAAAAGTTATTATCCCGTCTATAAGAAATTTATATGCGTCATTTAAATTAGTAAAACAGAGAAGCTTATTGAATTTCAGCAATTTCCGTTAATTACATCTAGAGTTATGACCCTTGTTTCACTTTGTTGAATCTTGTGAACGCTCTAATGACAACAGTTATCATCCGATCTGTTTGAAATTGATATGCATCATTTAGATTAGTGCAACGAAGAAGCCTATTGAATTTCAGTAATTTCCGTTTATTACGCCGTGAGTTATGGCCCTTGTTTCACTTTGTTGTACCTTGTGAATTCTTTAACGACAAAAGTTATTATCCAATCTGTATGGAATTTATATGTATCGTTTAAATTAGTAAAACGAACAAGCCTATTTAGTTTCAGCAAATTTCCGTTAATTACATCTAGAGTTATGTCCCTTGTTTCACTTTGTTGAATCTTGTGAACGCTTGAACGACAAAAGTTATCACCCAATCTGTATGAAATTCATATGCATCATTTAAATTAGTGAAATGAAGAAGCCTATTGAATGTCAGCATTTTCCATCAATTACTTCTAGAGTTATGGCCCTTGTTTTACTTTGTTGAACCTTGTGAACGTTCGAATGACAAAAGTTATCATCCGGTCTGTATGGAATTTATATGCATCATTTGAATTAGTAAAACGAAAAAGCCTGTCGAATTTCAACAATTTCTGGAGATTACTTCCAGAGTTCTAGCCCTTGTTTTAGTTTTTAGAACCTTGTGAACCCTCAAACGACGAAAATTATAATGTCATCTGTATGAAATTGTCTATTAAATGCACCTAATTACCTGCAAAAGAATAAATATGCGACAACCCTTGTCGACTTGCCGGAAGATTTAGCTGCTGTGGGAAAATGTTTTGTTGCCTGGCAACCTATCTTATATTCCTTTATCCCCTTCCCCTTTAAGTCCGGTTGTTAATATTTTGCTATTCATTTCTTGTTTTAGTGAAAAAAGAAGAGGAAAACACAGCGCCATCAATGGTTTATGTGAAACGTCCACGTGAATATGATGAAATAGAGTTAAAAGATAAAGATGGAAACCATGAAAACCATGACAATAACATGACATCGGTAATTATTGTAACATATTATTTCATGTCTATTATACAACCTATACGTCCCCTGGAGGTCTCTTTCTCGCGCTAACCTGGGGGTCTCCCCCTGTAACAGGACACCTCGTTACGCAGGCAGCCAAACACAAATGAACAGAGGTGTGATGCTCTGCGCAATCTTCTGGGATTAAGTCGCAAGTCTTTTACTAAATGTGTACAGGAATAATCAACAAATTCAACACACAAGTTTTAGGGTTCAATGAATTATCTTTATATCATCATTTAATTGACAGACAATTCTAAGTTGATTATATGATGAATATCAAGTTGAATATACACACACATACACATATGTGAAAACTGAAATAACAAAAGTTAACAGAATTACTAAACGGTACTAATTGATATACGATAATAACTATAGCACAACGTACAAACTACGTAATATTGTTAGCTAGGAAACAGCGTTTGACAGTGCCTGCATGACAGCTAATACAATACACAAGATTTCAAACCCAAAACGCAATTATACATATCAAATAAGAATACTGACATATACTTAGTTATGTGATGGACATATTAACTGATAATTACAACCAAAAATATATGTTTATAACACAATACCTTTTTGACTTCACCCCTTTCCGCAACGCACAAATTTGGCTGCCATGCTTGATCCCAGACGAAAGACCACGATTTATAGGAGTAACTAATAAAGTACACATACAAATTCGAACCAAATATTTATAATCATAATTTGATTAACTGAATAATTATGTACGTATTTAATATTTACTCTAATATATAGAATATACTAATAAACATATCTATACTTCGGATATAAAATATAATTAGGAAACCGTAGAATGTAAACAATTGATGCTCCCAATAGATACCCCTCTAGGAAGTCATACGGTCTATACTTGACTATGCATTCATTCAATCGCAACACTACGGCAAGACGACAATTGTTACATGGCTCCTCAAAATTAGTATGCTAATTTTCAACAAAAAACATAACAACCTAACTATTACATATTCAATATTTCAACGAACTTAATAAAGAGAGTTCTAATTTTAAAAAGACAGTTCAGTTGGCTCCTTGGCGGGGATTTCCCTGGTCTTCAAGTCCAAGAAGTAAAACTAATTTCTGTACTGGACGTTCTAAATATACAGGCGGAATTACACATTTTCCATCAGAATTTAAATATTTAAATACGACTTCTACAAAGTTCTTGGAGTATCTGTTTTCCTAATAGTAAAAACGGCGCAATAAAACCTAATGGATCATATATAGAACATACTGTGGAAAGTATTCCACGTCTAGTCAATGGCTTGTCATTTAAAGTTATATGAAATTGAAAACAGTCCGACTCAATACACCATTGTATACCTAATACACGTTCCATCGGAAGTTCATCATTGAATAAATCGAGATCTCGTATCTCCTTAGCTCGGTCTTCTGGATCTATTGAATTAACAACTGTTTTAGAATTTGATACAAACTTATGTAATCGGAGTCCGCACTTAGCTAACAAGTTTCTACTTCCATCTATTAGATTCATCGCTTCTCTTTCAGTAGGAAGAGACTTTAAACCATCATCTACGTAGAAATCTCGTTTCAAAAAATCTGTTACTTCAGAACCGAATTCCTCTTTGTTATCGATAGCAGCCTGTTTCATACCAAAGTTTGTGCAACCAGGTGATGACCCAGCACCAAATAAGTGTACTGTCATCCTTAAATCCGTAGGCTCTTCCTCATCATTGATGTTCTGTATTTACACAAACTGATAGAACATCTGTTCTATGTCGCAAATCACAGCTATGGACTCTTTTCTAAATCTACAGAGAACACCAGTTAGCGTGTTAGTAAGATCTGGGCCTTTAAGAAGATGGTCGTTTATTGACTGTTCTTTAAATCTGGCATTGCAATCAAATACTACACGTATTTTGTTAGGCTTCTTCGGGTGGTAAACCGCGTGGTGAGGGATATACCATACTCTACCGATATCTTGATGAAGTTCATCCGCAGGAACTTTTTCTGCATATCCTTTACTTATAATATCTGACATAAACTGACGATAATCATGTCGATAATTTTCATCCTTCTTAAATGTATTACGCAATGGTAAAAGTCTTTGTAACGCATGAGTTCGGTTGTTAGGAAGTGTAGGTTCCCTATCTCTAAATGGCAAGGGCATCTCATAGTGATTATCAGATGTTAAATGTATACTTTCTGACATTTTATTCAAAAACTGTTTATCTTCACGTGATTATGTTTGATTACTGCAAGAGTGGAGATCACTAAAGTCAGTTTCTAAAATCTTGAGAATATTAAAAGGGCTTACGATTTCTTTAACTTGAGTTTTAAATGAAATAAACGCATGTCGTGTTCGAATGTTTTGATCGGAGACTTCTCTAATCGAATGAAGTGGTTGAACATTACTCTCAGTTTTATGACTACAAAACATAAACTCATCGCATTTAAGTTCATTATTTATGTCTGGATCAACATTACCAATAATTCCCCATCCAAGATCTGTCTTCTGACCAAAGGGTTCATTCAATACAGGGGGGATAACTTCACGAGGTAATAACGCACAGGAACAATTATAACCAATAAGCAAACCAATCTCACAAGAGTTCAGTGACATTAATTCATTCGCAATTGTTTCAAGGTGAGGCCACCTATTTGCTATTTCAGGTGTAGGGATATGAGAACGATTAGCAGGTATTTCGTTTCTTGTATACGCAGTTGACAAAGGAATTCTAATGTCACAGTTATGTCCTCTGATAATTAAACCAGTTATTTTACGACTATCTACTCGCATATCTTTTGCAAACATTGTTGATAATGATAACTGTATTTGTGTCCATCGATACCTAACCGATCGCAAGTCGTATCTGAAATGAAACTAGAGTCTGAGTATCTAAAAGGGCATATACAAGTCATTCTAATTCTGGATTTGACATATGGGAAATCCACACAGGAAGAATCATCGAACAATGATTTGATTTATCGCTAATGTCCAACTTACAATTATGACTTGTAGTTGCAGGCCTTTCTGATGTATCAGTTCTTCCATGCACATCACCGTGTAAAGCTGTTGGATGATACATGTTACATATATCGCATGTTTTTCTTCTACGACAAAACTTGTAATAATGTCCAGGATTTAAGCAACTAAAACATAATTTGTTGTTTCTTAGAAAGTCTTTTCTATCATCAATTCTTTTCTTCAGAAAAACAGAACATCTATCCAAAATGTGTGGATCTTTACAGAAGAAACAAACAGGTTGCCTTGGCGCATTTTCATAAACTTTCGACCTTGAGGGTATATAGTTTTCTGACGAGTTTGTTGCAAATGAACCAACATTTCCAGGAGGTCTCCTAAAATGTGACTTATCTGATGACCAGCTTGATTTATTATTGTACCTTAACGAATCTGGTTGATTCAACTCCTTTCCAGGTTGTTGTAAAGACGTTACAGGATCGCAAGCAATGTTTGATTCTTTATCAATAAATTTCGCAAATTCAACAAAGGGAGGGAATGTCATTCTCTCAATTCTCCAGTCATGGACAATACGTGCCCATCGTGATACTAAATAATCAGGAAGTTTCTTAAGTAATTTCTTATTTTCCCTATCATCGTTCAAAACACATACTTCTAGTAGTCCGCATCGCTACTTCACACTGACGCAAAAAATCAGAAAATTTCTGCAAACCTATTCCATCTCTGTAATGAATTTTAGGCCAAGCATCAAGTTTATCGTGAAACGCATTGGCAATGACAAATGAATTACCAAATCTATCATCAAGAAGTTTCTTGGCTTCATCGTACGCATCTTCTGTCGACAACAGGAAATAATTCTCAACGCACTCTCTCGCAGATCCACTTAAATAACGCTTATGATAATACATTCGTTCTGAAACAGGAATGTCTTTCTGGTCTATCAAAGTTTGAAACGCGCTTTTCCAACTTGGGTATTTTAACAGGTCTCCAGAGAATGTACCAGGCTCAGGAGGGGGTAAACGACTGAAACTCGCATGTTCCGCAAAAACTTGTGCTACTCTGACTAACGGATCATCTTCATTAGTTGACCTTGTAGGAATGTAATAAGCTGGCTTTGTTGACATTACAGGATTCGGTTGTTGACTTGAATAAACTGTTGAACAGGTTTCTTGAGAACGCAACGCATAAGGGTTAATTTGAGGTGTTGAAGGGGTATAAAGAGGATGAGACACAGAATGACTAAGTTCAACGCTACAGGATGACGCAAACGCAGAATTATTAACTCCTGTATCATAAACTCTCGCAAACGCAAAGTTATTATCTTCAACACAAGTTACAGGTGAACAATTATTCTTGTCAGTATCTCTATCTAACGCAGACGCACGTTTTGTATGTTCAATATCGCTGGAGGTCGCACGCACCAAGTCATGTTGAGCTTCGCAGACAGGTGTTGACGCAAAATTAGTAGGTCTGTTATCGCAATTTGTCGCAGTGGTAGCACTTGGAGTTACAGGTAGATTTGATGAGTTATTCAATTTGACCGGTTCAGGCTCAGAATTGTGCAAAGTGTTCACATAATCTTGAACGTATTCAGTTTTATCTGCAGACAATGCAGAATCAATGACACGACTTGATCTATCATTCTCATGTTGTATCTTCGCAATAGCATCTAACTTGGCTTCAGCAATTTCAATATCTCTAATTGTTTCTAAACGGTTTAATTCTGACTGTTTCTGATTCAATTCAATTTGTTTTTGAGAAAGTACATCAATAAATTTCAACTTTGACTTTAACGCAGCAGCCTCCGCAGCAAGATCTATCTTCTTAGAATAACTTGATGAACTTGACGCAAAACTTCTTGTTCTATACGAAGAACTTGACTTTGATTTTGATTGGCTGTGTGATCTTCTACTTGAATGACTTGACTCCATCGCAAAAATCTTTTCTGTACCGCAATATACGCAAATTAGGAGAAACAGCAACAAGTTTACACACAGGGCTAGATTCAAAGAGTTCGCAAAATAAATAGGCTTATATATTGGCCTACGCACGCAAATGTTTTACAATAAAATGTTCGCACAAAAAATACCATCACTCGCAAAGATGTGAATAAAGTTTTCACTGTAACAGCACACCTCGTTACGCAGGCAGCCAAACACAAATGAACAGAGGTGTGATGCTCTGCCCAATCTTCTGGGATTAAGTCGCAAATCTTTTACTAAATGTGTACAGGAATAATCAACAAATTCAACATACAAGTTTTAGGGTTCAATGAATTATCTTTATATCATCATTTAATTGACAGACAATTCTAAGTTGAATATCAAGTTGAATATACACACACATACACATATGTGAAAACTGAAATAACAAAAGTTAACAGAATTACTAAACGGTACTAATTGATATACGATATTAACTATAGCACAACGTACAAACTACGTAATATTGTTAGCTAGGAAACGGCATTTGACAGTGCCTGCATGACAGCTAATACAATACACAAGATTTCAAACCCAAAACGCAATTATAACATATCAAATAAGAATACTGACATATACTTAGTTATGTGATGGACATATTAACTGATAATTACAACCAAAAATATATGTTTATAACACAATACCTTTTTGACTTCACCCCTTTCCGCAACGCACAAATTTGGCTGCCATGCTTGATCCCAGACGAAAGACCACGATTTATAGGAGTAACTAATAAAGTACACATACAAATTCGAACCAAATATTTATAATCATAATTTGATTAACTGAACAATTATGTACGTATTTAATATTTACTCTAATATATAGAATATACTAATAAACATATCTATACTTCGGATATAAAATATAATTAGGAAACCATAGAATGTAAACAATTGATGCTCCCAATAGATACCCCTCTAGGAAGTCATACGGTCTATACTTGACTATGCATTCATTCAATCGCAACACTACGGCAAGACGACAATTGTTACATCCCCTCTCTCTGTCTCCCCACCCCTGTCTCCGTCTGTCTCTCTGTCTCTGTCTGTCTCTCGCTAAACTGGAGGTCCCCCTCTCTCTCTATGCCCCCCCCCACCTCTCTCTCTCTCTCTCGCTAACCTGGAGGCCACGTGTTCGATCCCTGAGTTGACGGGACGAAAAACCGAGGTCCCGTGCACAAATTGCTGTGCAAGTAATAGAACCCATGGCAGTTGGAATTCGATATAAGCATAGGACATGCTGTCCCGGCAAAATTTCCTTCATAGCACACTGTATGGCGTATGCCCGTATTTATTAGCCCAGTCGGACGTTAAACCCCATTTCTTGTCTGCCTTCATAATATGTTGTCGTTTTTACTGAGGCTCCCTAATTTAGAGGTCCTATAAAAAAATAACACTTTTTATGAGAAAAGTGTGACGGTTGTGTGCTTTATCCTTTATCGTCAGATGGTGGGACGGGATGGGCACTCAAAGCGCGAGATAATGATATAGACATATGTGATATCACAATTAATGTCATCGTATTAATTTATAATAACAATTTTTGGTGTTTGATTTCTCTGTTTAAAAAGCTCAGTGTGTATGTATATAGGCCAAAATCACGATAGAGACCATGTATTTCTCAAAAATTCCTGGATCCGCCCCTGTTCGGTGTAGCATCTGGTTGTATGGGACAAAAATCTTGAGTCCCGTAAACATGTTGGTACCCACATAAAGGACACTTAACAGTTGGATTTTAATTGTTGTTCGAGTCTCGAGCAACATTGGAGGGGGGGGGGACGAATGGTTAGCACGTGCGCGCTGTATCATAAGGTCTGTCAATGGGTCAACTGGCGTGGTTTCGATTCCCCGGTTGTTCGTGGCAAGGAGTAGGGTCGCCTGTCCAACCTCGTGGGCTTTCTCCTGGTCCTCCGGTTTCTTCTCACTGCTAATGTCTCCTACTCGCAAGTGAATTATTGTGTCGAGCGGACGTTCAACCCATCTCTCTCTCTTTCTCTCTCTCGTCCATGTGCAACTGTCTAGTCGATCGGATGCGACGAAAAACCGAGGTCCCGTGTACACATTGGCAGTTGGAAGGTCCCGTGTATATATTGGCATGCACGTAAAAGATGGTTTGGCAGTTGGAATCGATATTTGAGTAGTCCATAGTGCCGCTGCCCGGGCAAAAGTTCCCCCATAGCAAGCACATTGTATGGCGTATGCCCGTCTTGATTAGCCCAGTAGGAGCAGAACAGTAGGACGTTAAACCCACATTTCATTTCATTTCTTTTAAATAAAGTGATGTAAGAGTATTTATTTTTATGTTGTAGGACCCGCCATTAAACTATGTTGAGGTCGACATACAGCCGTCTAATAAAACGACGATTATTGGAGAGAAAGCGCCACCTACCCAATATAGTACCATAGATATCGACGCCACAGAGAAACGGAAGTTGTCTATCGCTAGTGATTAACATATCTAGCTTTATAACAACATTTTTAAAGGCTCAATACCACTCTTGTTGTAACTGAATAATATGTCCCAATCTTTATTCTGGTCAACAAATTGTACTATTTTAGAATATTTTAATTAATTGATGATACAAATTTCATCTTAACACACCTTATTTAAAAATTTTGAAATATTCAACATAATGGTTTGAAACGTCTAACGTAAACCTTTTCAAATGAAACTTCGATTTAAAAATATTTTCGAACCCTCTGGACAAGTAAAATAGGATGTAATGGATAATTTACACAACAGGTAGGACACTTAAACATCTAGTACTTAGATAGAGATATTTATTTTCTGGAGCTTTCAAGCCAGCAAGAGTGTTATTGTCCCTTTAAAGGACCTCCCGTATTTTTATTTTTTATATAAAGTCAAATTTTAACAAATAACTAGTATAGTATGTATATTTGAAATGTCGAATCCAGGCTGGTCAATATGATTAAAAAGCAGATCTATATTTCGTTTCGTTTTTTTTTAATACTCTCGAGGGTCTACATTACATGAAGATCTGACCAGTTGTAGTTTAAGGTGACATTGATTAATTAACCAGCGTTGACCTTTCTAGTGGTTTACCCACAGTTCCGTGCAAGCCAATAACTCGCCGTAACAGATCGTCCCATTGGCTCATCCCTCACATTAACCAGAACGCATGTTATATAACAACTCTTCCAGATCCGAGTGCTGTCAAGACAAGTAAAACGAAATTTTGAACTATAAAATATGAAACGAAATGGGATCTGTGTTTTAATCAGATTGACGTTTAATAGCAACATTATCAAAAATCTCAGTCAGTTTTTAAAAATTAAAACTTTACCGAAAACCGTAAAACTAACAATATTATTAAAGGTTCATGTATTTGTAATTTATTTTAAACGTCAATTTTAACATAAAATTAGTACAGCATGCATGTTTGAAACATCGAATTAAGACTGGTCAATGATTAATAACAATATTATTAAAACAGAACTCAATTTTTTATAGGAAATTAATCACTGGTTTTTATTCTAAAAGCACGAAGTGCCAGTTAGAATGGTGCAATGGGCCCTTTGAATTTTCTAATGTACCACTTGGAATGTTCTAATGTACCACTTGGAATGTTCTAACGTGCCACTTGGAATGTTCTAATGTACCACTTGGAATGTTCTAATGTGCCACTTGGAATGTTCTAATGTACCACTTTGAATGTTCTAATGTGCCACTTGGAATGTTCTAATGGACCACTTGGAATGTTCTGATGTGTCACTTGGAATGTTCTGATGTGCTACTTGGAATGTTCTAATGTGCCCTTTGGAATGTTCTAATGTGCCACTTGGAATGTTCTAATGTTAGGTTAATCACTCACTCTGCTCAAAATGATTTTAATTTCTTCTTTTATTTACGTTATTGGAAAAGAAGTCCCTATCGCCCCCACCTTGATTAGCAGATCAGTACGACGTTAAACCCCATTTCGTTTTATTTCATTATCGCTCGTTTTAGTCATTGTTGAATACCAACGATGTCATTATTTCATTATCGCTCGTTTTAATCATTGTTGAATACAAACGACGTCATTATTTCCTCGAGATGGAGTAGACACGAAGAGTCAATTTCCTACATATGGAGTAGATACGAAGGGTTTGTTTTATTGTATATAAGTAATATATAAACACATTATAATGTGTCAAATATATTTATGTTATTTGGAAAGGAGTAAGTATACCCTCCACTCCGCCCCAACACTCCGGTTTGCTCACTACACTTAATTATTATTATTTTTTTTAGCGTTTTCTATCCGGTTATCTCCCTTATTGTTGAAATTTTTTGAGGTTCTAATTCATGACGTCAACTGGCAGACTATCGCCATTGAAGAGATGACCGCTGTCAAGATCGGTCGCATTATTTCTGTTACGTCTTTTTGTAAATCATTTATTTTTTTTTCAATTTGAGTGAAGCCTGTACCATAACAGGCCCGGGACTATACAGCGCAGTGGACGCTTATGGCTGGCCACCGGATCCATTCACTTGATGTGATATTTGTTTATTTCTTGCAATATTGTTACAGACTGGCTATTACGTAATGCTAGATTAGCTTTCCGTACAAGTCACATAACACTAACTGGCCAGGTGCCTGTTTCACGAAATTTTAACTAAGATAAAATCCAAATTTTAGTAATTTGATTGGATAATATTATATTGATTTTAGTGCTTAGCCAATCAAAATTGAACTATCTACTAAAATTTGGATTTTATCTTTAGTTAAAATTTCGTGAAACAGGGCCCTGGTGTTTAATGAATCAAGTATCTGTCATACATGACAGCTGACATGACCGGATATTTACATGTAATTGGTCAAAAATGGTATGATATCGTTTAGATACTATTCTCCTATTGTGTAACAATATCTCTGCATTCTGTCTTGTCCACTGGTTTATCTTGTAGATTAGAAGATAGTAGTACCATTACAGATCCAGGGCCCTTATTCACGAAAACTTAAACTAAGATACAATCGAAATTTTAAGAAATACTGCAATTTGATTGGCTGACCAGTAAAATCAACTTGCATATATCCAATGAAGTTGCAGTATTTCTTAAAATTTCAGTTGTAACTTAGTTTAAGTTTTCGTGAATAAGGGCCCAGGATTGTACAGCACAGTGGACGCTTACGGCTGACCCCCGGATACATTCATTTAATTTGATATTTGTTATTTTTTGCAATGTCTGTATATTCTGTCTTATTCACGGGTTTATCTTGTAAGTTTTTGTTTTGTGTGTAGTGCGGTCCTACTGCACTCACTATTAGTTATTACTGTATACCGATATAATATATTTGTTTTATAAGACAGATTGATAATTTGTCGGCTGTACCATGCCATAATTTTCTTGTACAATAGATTGCTAATATGTCAAGTATATCATTCCATAATTCCTTGATTATTGTATATGCAATTTCATCGAACCCTTTGATGTTTACCGAAAGATTCAAATTGTGACATTAAGTTTGAAAATAATCTTGAGGCGACTGACATGGCTTTAGAATCAGATAATCGTTTCGTTTTATTTCTAATATGTCTTACAATGATTGTAAAATTAACGAAACGAAATTGTAATGGAATCTATCTTAACCTCCTCTGGGTAAAATCCCTTTTTCTTTTCTTCTGTTGTTGATATTTATTTATACTATAGTAAGGCTAATTACATCGTTAAAATGTTGATATTTACACAATCTTTATATTTATACTGCAGGAAGATTTAACAACTTCTTTATGTAAGATCTAACAACATCGTTATATTTACACTACAGTAATATCTAACGATATCTTAAACTTGACGTATTTGACTATATCTTATACTTAACGTATTTGGGTGGTTGGATGGCTGAATGGTTAGCGTGCGCGCGCTGTATCATAAAGCCTGTCATTGAGTCAACTGGCGTGGTTTCGAATCCCCGGTTGTACGTGGCAAGGAGTAGGGTCGCCTGTCCAACCACGTGGGTTTTCTCCGGGTCCTCCGGTTTCCTCCCACTGCTAAAGACCCCTACGCGCAAGCGAATTATTGAAATAAAATTAAACCATATGTTTGTCCCGAAATGACCTAGTTTGTGTCGAGTGGACGTTAACCCCCAGTTCTCTCTCTCTCTCTCACCAACGTATTTAAAAAATGGACGTATTACTCTCCTCGACAATAATTGCCTTGATCCAAACACAGGGGCCCAATTTAGAATTCAAAGAAAACGATTCAATTACATGTAAATATAATGTTATTAGATGGTATAAAACGTAACTGAATTAGATTATATTTCAATGTAATCGAATTATATATAATTAATTGAATTATATATAATTAATTGAATTATATATAATTAATTGAATTATTTGTATTTAATTGAATTATTTGTATTTAATTGAATTATTTGTATTTAATTGAATTATCTCAATGTAATGTAATTAATTATATGTCAATGTAATTGAAATGATTGTATTTAAATATAAATAATATAATGTAATTAGATTGTATTTAAATGTAATTGATTTGATTCTATTTAAATGTAATTAATTTAATTCTATTTAAATGTGATTGATTTAATTTTATTTAATACGATTAATTTTATTTAATACGATTAATTATATTTAATTGGATTAATTGTACTTGATTGTATTGAATTTTAATTAATTGTATTTAATTGTGTCGAAATGAAATGTAATTATATTCACAGTATCAGCTTTTACAATATTACAGAACATACTTGTCCTACAAGATTACACCATCTCTCTCTCTCTCTCGCTCGCTCTCTCTCTCTCTCTCTCTCTCTCTCCACCTCTTCATTCTCACACACACCATAAACCCTGTCCCCATCTGGATATCTCGCTCTCTGTGGGCTGTTCTTTTATTCAACATTCTAGCTTGTCACGTGTATTTTAATATATCCATTAATGCCAGTCACGTGCCTTGATATATTGTATAAATAAAATTGTTGCCATATGACTTGTTATATAATTTAACTGTATAAAAGCAACTCTGTAAATAAAATATTACCTATATATAATACAATTCATCCCATCTCCAATCTTTATTTTAACTTTGGCAGTAATTATGAATGGTGAGTTCGGAGTGGCATAGTGCCAGGGCCGTAACTAGCTTAGAGCAACGAGGGGGTAGGGGGTGGGGGAAGTGTTCTCGGGGGTGCTGTAAGATTGACAGACAATGTATATCTATGGTCGACAACTTTTACACGGGGAGGGGGGAGGAGGGGGGCTGTAGCGAAACTCGTTCCCCGACCCCCCCCCCCTCCATTAGTTACGGGCCTAAATAGTGCTTTTGTATGCTGCGTGTGCTGGGACCTATGATGGCACGAACGCCGAATTCTCTTTAGGTCTATTAGGTTTACTAATATATCACAACTACCAGGGGTCGGGGGCAGTGTGAAGTTAGCTCGTTTTTCGATATTGGTGAATATCGACGTTTTACAATATTAACGAACAACGGAAAACAAGAAGATTTGATGGGCGTATATCCAAAGAATGTCTCCAAAACACATTTGATTAAATAAGTTTTCTAAAACGAACTATTAATATCATAAATGAGGATGTCTGAGCAGTGGATTCACATAAAAACTGCTCTTTCTCCATGATTTTGATATTGGCGAATGTCGAAAAACGAGTCAATCGGCGCCGAATTTTATTCGGCCGAATGCGTGGACACTCTAGGCGAATCTTCCGCCTGCTTTACCAGTCGATTGCATCACCCTATGATTAAACATGGCGGCGACCTTGTCTTCAAATAATTACGTGACTTCTTGATATGACTGGATGATGAGTGGTGATTGGCTAATGAATTCTACAATCAGGCGAATGCTTCGGCGAAGCGGCACAATAGGCGGATATAATTTTGCTGAATTAAAATCAAACCTGTTTCATTCGGGTTAACCATTCGACTCATAGAAATTTGGCCGAATGACAGTGGACAGACACACTAGGCAAATCTCGACGCCAATGGGTTCGGCCGAATCATTCGGCTAGTTTGTCCACACACTGATCAGCAGTGAATATTTACTAGGCCGCCGCAATCACCTTCCACTACACGCTGTGGAGGTGTGACTATTTACATTTCTATATGATGTAATACAGCGATATAAAGCTGTTTTTCTATAAGTATTTATAGATCTATATATTGTATTGAATACTTGACTATTGACACAGTATAGAACTGTGTATACTATGTATTGTTTAATGGTCGAGAGCGAGACATTAAGTAATATATTGTAACAACATGAGGGCCGTGAGGCCCGAATGTTTTTACAATATATTACGCAATGTCTTAAGCTCGAGACCATTAAACAACTTAAAATACAGACACTTGCACGTGCTTTGCAATGAAATACGTCACTCGAGTTCAATATTTTACCAAGTTACGCTTGGCACATTGCCCGTACGATTATTTGAAATAATGGTACTCCAACATCAAAGGATGACGTCACATCTGTATTTTAAAGTAATATATACCATACATCTATAGATGTATGGTGAGAGAGAGAGAGAAATGGGGTTTAACGTCCACTCGATACAAACCAGGTCATTTCGGGACTAATATACGGTTTAATTTTATTTCAATTATTTCGCTTGCACGTAGGTGTCTTTAGCAGTGGGAGGAAACCGGAGGACCCGGAGAAAACCCAGGAGGTTGGACAGGCGACCCTACTCCTTGTCACGTATAACAAGGGAACCGAAACCACGCCAGCTGACTCAATGATACAGCGTGCACAAGCTAACCATTCAGCCATCCACCTCCCACCAGGTGGACGGAATTGATGGCCGGCCTCCGTATACTACTCAAGACGTAAGCGTGGATGGATTTTCATTAGGACTATCGAATGCTGTGGCTGTGCAGCTCAAATACGTCGAATTATAGCTTTCTAAAAAATATTAATTAACAAGCTTTTATATAAGAAATATTAGTCTAATTAACTGAGTTTATTAAAAAAAACAAAACAAACAGATCATCAGAATACATGTACATTAAAATCACAATTAAAACATTTATCAATTAAAGGCGTATTATCGGATATTAGATAAAGAGCTGACAGTTCTCACCATAATAGTTAAAAACTAGATAATGTAAAGGGAATATCAGTCAAATTGATAAACTCTGAACCGAGATAATAGCGATTGAATTTTAGGCCTAGCCTCAATCATCATAACTAAAGTGGCTACGATAAAAAAAAAATAGTCTCGGTTATCCATTTTTGAAAATAATTATCAAAGAGCGTTAAGCAGCAGATCAGATTCAAATCCAGTGTAAATCCGACATATAAGATTGCATCGGGAGTTGATTAAGGTCTTTTCATGTTAATAAATGTCTAATTAATAGTTTATATAATATTTCACGCCCAAAGGAAGGCCTGCAATGGACAGATTTAGCTCTTGCATAGTGTATGTTTAATAATTGAATATAAAATGTGAACAAGAGTACTAATTAACAATTCCATATTATAATAGTGTGCATGAAGGAAACACATAGATGGTATGAACAAGTGTCCTAATTAACTATTTCACTTTATAATAGTATGCATAAAAGAAACACATACATTATGTAAACATGACTACTAATCAACTATTTCACATTATAATAGTATGCATGAAAAACACATAGATTATGTGAACAAGAGTACTAATAACTATTTCACATTATGGGGATCACGATGGCTAAGTGGGTAAGGCGCTGGCTAGCTAGCCTGGAGGTCGGGTGTTCGATCCCTGCATTGGCCGAGAAAGTTCATCCAGATTTTCCGGCGTGGTTCCCCCGTGTCAGTGATGCAGGACGGAGGGCCTGGCAAGGACAGCTGTCTAGTCATTCGGATGAGACGAAAAACCGAGGTCCCGTGTACACATTGGCGTGCACGTAAAAGATCCCTTGACGGTTGGAATTCGATATAAGAGTAGGCCGTAGTGCCGCTGTCCGGGCAAAATTTCCCTCATAGCACACTGTATGGCGTATGCCCGTCTTCATTAGCCCAGTTCGGAGCAAAACAGTAGGACGTTAAACCCCATTTCATTTCATTTTCATTTCATTTCACATTATAATAATATGCATAAAAAAACCCACATGGATTATGTAAAAAGTGTACTAATAACCTATTTCACATTATAAACACATACATTATGTGAACAAGATTACTAATGATCTATTTCACATTATAATATTATATAAAAAAACCCACATATATTATGGGAACAAGAGTACTAAAAACTATTTCACATTATAATAATATGCATAAAAAAACACATAGATTATGTAAAAAGTGTACTAATAACCTATTTCACATTATAATAGTATGCATAAAAGAAACACATAGAATATGTAAACAATAGTATTAATTAACTATTTCACATTACAATGGTATACACAAAAGAAACACATAGATTATGTGAACAAGAGTACTAATTAATTATTTCACATTATAATAGTATGTATAAAAAACACATACATTATGGGAACAAGAATACTAATTAACAATTTCACATTATAAAAGTATGTATTTAAAAAACACATTATGTGAACAAGTGTACTAATCAACTATTTCACATCATAATAATATGTATTAAAAAAACCCCAAATAGAACAAGAATACTGATCAACTATTTCACATTATAATAGTATGGTTAAAAAACATATAGATGTGAACAAGAGTACTAATCAACTATTTCACATCATAATAGTATGCATGAAGGAAACACATAGATTATATGAACAAGAGTACTAATAACCTATTTCATATTATAATAGTATGCATAAAAACCCCACATAGAATATGTAAACAGGAGTACTAATAACCTATTTCACATTATAATAGTATGCATAAAAAAACACATAGAATATGTAAACAAGAGTACTAATAACCTATTTCAAATTATAATAGTATGTGTTAAAAAAACACATAGATTATGGGAACAAGAGTACTAATTAATTACTTCACATTATAATAGTATGTGTTAAAAAAACACATAGATTATGGGAACAAGAGTACTAATTAATTATTTCACATTATAATAGTATGTATTTAAAAAAACCCACATAGATTATGTGAACAAGAGTAATAATAGGGGTGGGCAAATGACATCAACATATATCGATATCCCACGTGACGAGTGTTTTCTAAGGCCATTATGATATTTTTGGTATGTGACGTCATTTTAGGTTGGTTCAGTGGCCATTTTCAAAATGGCCGCCAAAAATGGACCTTTTTCATCGTAAAAGTAAGGAAATATTGAAACTAGTCCTCTAATATGTGCAAATGTATGTTTTTATAGGTCGGGGATACAAAATAAGACGAACTTAGATACAAATAAAATAAAACCAAGTACGAACAATCCAAACTATAAGACAGAATTCGAAGTCCTAAAAAACGTTATAGGCAAAATAGTGTATTCAAGCAAAATAGTGTAATCAGCAAAGGAATAATGGTTATACAGCAATCGTGCTTTCTGTCGTTTGCTTCCAGAAAAATCTGCATTTTTTTCAGATAATTGTTCATATCTGTGATGTCGGGTTATTCTATTTCAGATTTCTTTGTACTGATACTGAACTGGGATCTTACCAGACCATAAATAATTCAATGGAAGTCTTACATTCTCTCCTGGTAGAATCTGTCTTGGTCTCGGGTGCGAGAGTCACCGTTTCGTAAGTACTTCTGGTGGGGTATATGGACTAAGCCGTGCTGAATAGTATCCTCTTGTTCTTTGGAGCAATGCGGATGACTGTACATTTGGATGGATCTGTCAGGTATTTTCCTATGTTTCCAATGCAGCGATATCTTTCTGGAGAAGGTCCGAAACTGTCTGGTTTCCCACTACCAGAGACTGTCATCAACAATAAGCTTGGAATCGGACCCGACTTTATGGATTCTGGAAGATCGTTTATGGGGGCTATGGACCAATACAAGCACAGTGCACCGTGGAACTGTGGTGTAACCTGAGCCATGTCAGATGTTGCTCTGTCGTGTAGGACTTGTTGGTGTCTTTTACTGAGGAAGGATCTGGTCCACTTCAGTGAGTGTGC